GCATGGTTACAAGCGTGATGTAGAGAGAGCTGGTTGGTGAGGATGCTCAGAGGAGGACCAGCTTGTGGGTCGCCATGCTCGCCGGCGGGAGCGAGAACCGCCAGGCAGGAGGAGGAGGAGGAGGTGTTGCTGGCTGGTTGGTGTAGGTAGAAAAGAGGGTGGTCACCACGAGGTCAGGTCTTATATAGCGGAGGTAGGTGTGGCTTAATAGTTGACCTCCGTCATGTAAGGCGGCGCTGGTTGACCTAGACCACGAGGCATACACTGGGGAATTCGCAGGGTCGGCTACTCAGCGACAAACAGCGTTTGTAGGGGAGGTATCCACTACAGTACTCCCCCCTTCCCTCCAGGCAGTGTAGGAAACTTGTTGTCTGCAGGGTTGCATGGCACATGTGAAGCAGAACGGGCGGTGCATGCCACAAGTGAGCCATAACGGCGAGGGAGTGGATGAGCCTGCCGCTAGAGGAGACAACTGTCTAGATACACAATATCTGTGGGAGTAGAGAGGGAGAAAAAGGGTGTGTGAAGGCGATGAATGTTGTGCTTCCCTCACGGCAGGTACAGAGTCGTCAGATGCGCCTGCTGGGGTGTGTGGGCCTGGGTCAGGAGCAGGGGCTGCGTCAGCAGGAGCGGAGGAGAGTCCGTGACAGCAGCTGGGTCCACGACAGCAGCAGGGTGCAGGACAGTAGCAGGGGGTTCCTGAGGGAGAAAAGAGGGGTGTGTGGGTCCACGTCAGGAGCAGGGGCCGCGTCAGAAGGAGCGGCAGGGGGTACTGCTAGGCCGGGACGGCGTCTGAGGCAGGACGGGAGTGTTGGGGTCGGTAGGACGTGGTGCTTGGGGCAGGAAGAGGAGCGGCTGTCTGCTTAGAGTAGCAGAGCTGCTCTAGGGTGTCTAACCTGCGGTGTAGAGACAGTAGCTGTGGAGCCGATGAGAGCTGCCTCTGCGTGGGTAAGCCAGTCTTCCATGTTGCTTGAAGACTGGGAGAGTGATCGGTTTCTCCTCCATCCTGTGTGAGTGTGAATGTCCGGGGGTCACCATTTGTGGGGTTATGTGACATGTTGTTCACACTCAGGATGGGATGGAGAAAGGAAACTCACGATGTGCTCTCTGTATACATATTGTATTGGATGTACAGTGCAGCTTGGTGCTGGGAAGTGGCAGCGTGGTTACAAGTGTGATGTAGAGAGAGCTGGTTGGTAAGGATGCTCAGAGGAGGACCAGCTTGTGGGTCGCCATGCTCGCCGGCGGGAGCGAGAACCGCCAGGCAGGAGGAGGAGGAGGAGGTGTTGCTGGCTGGTTGGTGTAGGTAGAAAAGAGGGTGGTCACCAGGAGGTCAGGTCTTATATAGCGGAGGTAGGTGTGGCTTAATAGTTGACCTCCGTCATGTAAGGCGGCGCTGGTTGACCTAGACCACGAATGCATACACTGGGGAATTCGCGGGGTCGACTACTCAGCGACAAACAGCGTTTGTAGGGGAGGTATCCACTACAACCCTTCTGATTAGAAAGCTGATCTTAGTCATGTTTTTACTTTTACTTTACCATTATCCTCTTCACCACTGATCGGCTAGTTAGCCGCTTGGCCAGTCGGTCACGTCTCTGATACGCACTGTTGGCAAGTACTGGGCATGTACCGGCTCCACATGTATCTGAACCTGCTCCAGTGTTGGTCAAGTCTGGTCTTGAAACAGCTCACATTCGGTGCCATCACAACACTCTCTGGTACATTGTTCCAAGAGTTCACAACTCTCACCCCGAAAAAGTTCGCCTTCACAGTTTTCTGGACTTGTGGCTTCTTCAACCTTGACTGCTAACACTCCCTCTAGTGCCCTGCCAGTTCATATCCCTAATACTGTGCTGTAATTACAAAGTTTGTTGCGAGATACTCTGGCCACAGTCCAATAACTCACTATTATTTTCAATGACTATTAATTTCCTTTTGTTAAGATTAGATTTAAACCAGACAAGAGACACAATGCCAAGAGCCTGCAGTTGTTCACACAGAAATGATCCACTGTGCTGAAGGCTGTTTGTAAGTCTAACGTTACCATTCCTGTGTAAGTTCCCTGAACTATTTGGGTCATATATGGCCAGTGAGATGGATCATGCTGGTGTAAGAGCCCCTAAAGCCTGGCTGGTATACTGTACAAAATATTAGAAGCTTTGCACCTCAACATACACTGCTGTATGGTTTTAGATACAATAGACAGGTTACTAACTGGCCTGTAATAACCTACATCAGGCCTGTCACATTTCTTATAGATAGGTTTTACTCTGACACACTTAGAGTAATCTCATATGGTACAGTATTGGTGCTAATGGAGAGATTAATTAGATGTGTTATTGGTGCCTTCAATATAGTGGCACCGTCCCTCTAAACCCTGGTAGGGATGCTCTCAAAATCTTCTGTTACAGTTCAATGGTCTGGAGTGATTCATTTCTTTCTGTAGTGGGATTTAAGAACATTTGAATAAACACTGTAATTATTTAAGGTTACCTGAAGTTTATTGACTAAAGATGAGGCAACTGTTGCATAAAAGAAATTAAAATAGTTTGCAACATTAGATAAATCGAGACAGAGCTCAACATCAATATTTAACACTAGGATGGAATGTTCTCGGTGGTGCTGTGTCCAAAGGTTCTTAGTTGCCTCCACAGCTTTTAGGAATTATTATTATTTTATTTTTCTCACGTTTATTATTTATATATTCTTATTTCACTCACTATTTATCCCTCTGTACTGTTTCTTATCTACTAAATTCATTGTGTGATCCGTCTTCATGTCTGTCTCTTATAATGTTATGAGTGAGTTGATCTCTGTGTCTGGTGTATTCTATTATCTCACAAGTCATCTAAGGATCAGTCCCAGCCTTTATTCTTATCTGCTTTTACTGTGCTACGGCAGCTACGCCACCAAGAACATCAAGGTTCATGGTAAGTCAGTGTATATATTACTTACCACACTTGACTTACACCACTGTGTCCCTTAATCCACCCCACATAATTATGGGAGAGGTTTCTGGACCCCTTAATCCACCCAACATAAATATGGGAGATAAATAAAGATGACAGACAGATAAATATTACTCTCATACATATAAGTCAATCTTAATGGAACTATGTTTCATCCTAATATTTTCATGTGAATAATAAAACAAAATTATAATAAACATTTTATTAACAATATTGGTATAAAAATTACATTAACCTTTGAACAATTTATCTTACTTTCATATACTGTATATTTTAAATGACAGCATCTTATAATTCTTCCATTAGTGAGAAGCCAAGTATATATTTGATCATTTAATGTTTTTTTTTAAAGATAATATTACATATATTATGTGTAGACTACATCCTTGACCACCAAAGGGTCAAGACGTACCTGGCGCTCCTCTCGGAGCAGCCAGGTCAACTGTTATGTTGGCCCATACCAACTCCCTCCCCTGAACCCTCCTCCCCACCGGAATATCAACAAGTTCTCGCCAGAAGTTACAATTTCATTTAGGAAAGGAATGGAACCAGTGTTAAACAGAGGTGAACAGTGGTGAACAGTGCTTAAGTCAGTGAGAACAACTCAACAGTAACAGTCATACCCAAGTTAACCTTCACACAGTGAGGTCCCAGGTACCCAGTGATAACGGCCCGTGAGACCCAACAAGAACCAGCGATGTGTTAATCCGTCTACGATAGGAAGGCCTGGGACCACACCTCACTCATATAACACCATCTGTGAGGGAATTACTACACCACGTGATGCCCCTCATAACACCATCTGTGAGGGAGTTACTACACCACATCAAGTCCCTCATAACACCATCTGTGAGGGAATTACTACACCATGTGAGGTCCCTCATAACACCATCTGTGAGGGAATTACTACACCACGTGAGGCCCCTCATAACACCATATGTGAGGGAATTACTACACCACGTCAGGTCCCTCATAACACCATCTGTGAGGGAATTCGTACACCACGTGATGCCCCTCATAACACCATCTGTGAGGGAGTTACTACACCACGTGAGGCCCCTCGTAACACCATCTATGAGGGAATTACTACACGTCTGTGAGGGAATTACTACACGTGAGGCCCCTCATAACACCATCTGTGAGGGAATTACTACACCACGTCAGGTCCCTCCTAACACCATCTGGGAGAGAGTTACTACACTACGTGTTTGCTGTTCAACACCTACATTAATCTGAATGTTCACTGTATGTTCCTTTACCTATCTCTAATGAAGGCTTTTGTTAAACCACCAATGTATGTAATAAGTCATTTATGTCCAATGTATATTTTCAGCCTTCGGGCTGCAGAACTTTTTCAATAAACCGTTAATTATTATTATTATTATTATTATTACAAGATAATGACCCACAAACCCTGCCTGGCGACAACACTGAACCTGTGTCTTATGGGTTTGTAGTTGACAGCACTAACAAGTAACCCATGAGGCCTATTACAGTTGTCAGTGCATGTCAAGTGTTCACGGGGACCAGTGCGGGAAGACAAAGGATAGTCACCAACTCCTGCTTTCTATACTTGGTACAATTATTATTTACAAGGTAGATTCACAGGATAGATCCACACAGACCTAAACTCAACTGAGTTGTGTGAAGCAGCGAGACACACAGGTCTGGTCTACAGTGAGTCCTCCCGGTTCTCTCTACCTTCATTCCCTCCTCAACTCTCCCACCAAGCATTGTGGGTAATAACATCACAGTTACATTAATTCACAAATTATTAATGAGACAATTACAAGAAGTTACAATAAAAGACAATTAAGTATATACCTCAAACTACTTCAATTAACAGTAACATATAAGTTAATAATTGGAGTAACATCACAAGACCCCAAGTTTGGAACACCTTGTACAAGAAGCCAACTTCACACCCAACCACCATTATGTATTATATACAACAACTCACTATATACAACAAATTACACAGATTAGCATAACATGAATGTATGTTATACATTACCATAAGAACATACATTACATATTACACAGAGCCCTTGGGATGTACCTAGTAGCATCTGACAGTAGAGAACATCACAGTTGGTAATGTACAGTACATGTTAGTACATCACAGTTGGTAATGTACAGTACATGTTAGTACATCGGAGTTGGTAATGTACAGTACATGTTAGTACATCACAGTTGGTAATGTACTGTACATCTTAGTACATCACAGTTGTTAATGGACAGTACATGTTAGTACATCACAGTTGGTAATGTACAGTACATGTTAGTACATCACAGTTGGTAATGTACTGTACATCTTAGTACATCACAGTTGTTAATGGACAGTATATGTTAGTACAGTACATCACAGTTGGTAATGTACTGTACATCTTAGTACATCACAGTTGTTAATGTACAGTACAGGTTGGTACAATACACAACTGACAACAGGACATGACTAAGTCAACAACATCACCTGACTTGACCAAGCCAAATCAACATGGCTGGGTCTACATGTGACCATTACATGTTAACAAAATTATTGTACAAGTTCTACTAGACTCATAGGATACCACTCAACTAACACAAGTTTATTTTTCTAACATATTCTATCATGTCATGGTAAAGAAATTTACATCTTAAGAGCAGATAATTATAACTTGTGTTTAATATCTATAAAAGTGGCATTTGTCACTTGTCTTTATTTCTGCTACATTCATAGAGTTTGTTCAAGTGGTTTTATATTGATGTATATCACTGTATTCAAGTTTATGAGTCACATTTACCTTCTGTTAAAGTCATTCAAACATTTATTGAATTCTGTTACTTTCATGCACAAGTTTATGACATTTGAGATGACCCTTCTGGGAGAAACATTTCCCACATTCCTCACATTTGAACTCTTTTATGCCACTGTGTCCAAGAATGTGTCTCCTGAGATGACTCTTCTGGGAGAAACATTTCCCACATTCCTCACATTTGAACTTCTTTATGCCACTGTGTCCAAGAATGTGGTCTTTGAGAGTACTCTTCCGGGAGAAACATTTCCCACATTCCTCACATTTGAACTTCTTTATGCCACTGTGTCCAAGAATGTGGCTCCTGAGATGACTCTTCTGGGAGAAACATTTCCCACATTCCTCACATTTGAACTTCTTTATGCCACTGTGTCCAATAATGTGTGTCCTGAGATAATTCTTACTTGTAAAACATTTCCCACATTCCTCACATTTAAACTCCTTTATACCACTGTGTCCAAGAATGTGAGTCTTGAGATAACTCTTACTTGTAAAACATTTCCCACATTCCTCACATTTAAACTTCTTTATGCCACTGTGTCCAATAATGTGTGTCCTGAGATAACTCTTACTTGTAAAACATTTCCCACATTCCTCACATTTAAACTCCTTTATACCACTGTGTCCAAGAATGTGAGTCTTGAGATAACTCTTCTGCGAGAAACATTTCCCACATTCCTCACATTTAAACTTCTTTATGCCACTGTGTCCAAGAATGTGTCTCTTGAGACAACTCTTCTGCGAGAAACATTTCCCACATTCCTCACATTTAAACTTCTTTATGCCACTGTGTCCAAGAATGTGTGTTGTGAGATAACTCTTTCTTGTAAAACATTTCCCACATTCCTCACATTTAAACTCTTTTATACCACTGTGTCCAAGAATGTGTGTCTTGAGAGTACTCTTACGTGTAAAATGTTTCCCACATTCATCACATTTGAACTTTTTTACACCACTATGCACAAGTTTGTGTCTATTCAGATCACCTTTTTGTGCAAAATGTAACCCACATTCTTCACATTTGAACTTCTTGATACCACTGTGTAAGAATTTGTGTGCCTTGAGAACACTCTCTAGTGCAAAATGTTTCCCACATTCCTCACATTCAAACTTTTTAATACCACTGTGTCCAAGAATGTGTATCTTGAGAGTACCCTTTTCTGCAAAATGTTTCCCACATTCCTCACATTCAAACTTTTTTTCTTTTACTGACATTATGTAGTCTCTGGCAGGTTATATCAGCCAGGGGTAGTCTCTGGCAGGTTATATCAGCCAGGGGTAGTCTCTGGCAGGTTATATCAGCCTGGGGTAGTCTCTGGCAGGTTATATCAGCCAGGGGTAGTCTCTGGCAGGTTATATCAGCCTGGGGTAGTAGTCTCTGGCAGGTTATATCAGCCAGGGTAGTCTCTGGCAGGTTATATCAGCCTGGGGTAGTCTCTGGCAGGTTATATCAGCCTGGGGTAGTCTCTGCAGGTTATATCAGCCTGGGGTAGTCTCTGGCAGGTTATATCAGCCTGGGTAGTCTCTGGCAGTTATATCAGCCTGGGGTAGTCTCTGGCAGGTTATATCAGCCTGGGGTTAGTTTCTGGCAGCCTGGGGTAGTAGGTTATATCAGCCTGGGGTAGTCTCTGGCAGGTTATATCAGCCTGGGGTAGTCTCTGGCAGGTTATATCAGCCTGGGGTAGTCTCTGGCTGGTTATATCAGCCTGGGGTAGTCTCTGGCTGGTTATATCAGCCTGGGGTAGTCTCTGGCTGGTTATATCAGCCTGGGGTAGTCTCTGGCAGGTTATATCAGCCTGGGGTAGTCTCTGGCAGGTTATATCAGCCAGGGGTAGTCTCTGGCAGGTTACATCAACCTGGGGAAGTCTCTGGCAGGTTATATCAGCCTGGGGTAGTCTCTGGCAGGTAATTTCAGCCTGGGGTAGTCTCTGGCAGGTTATATCAGCCTGAGGTAACAATAATATACATATATTAATATATATGGGATAAACAACTCTAAACAGTTGATATTAATGTAAAACAAAAGTGTGATGTTATACTGTCATCAGCTTTGTGTTGTCTGCTGTTGTGAGTTGTGTTGTGTAGCATCACACACAATGGGACAACTTAACACAACACAACAATTTACTTTACTTACTGAAAATTAATTTACAGTCTCCAGTTGTTTAGTTAATATAGTTAAACATATTTGGGATCACCTGAAGATTGGTCCCAGCTTATTTCACCTTAAGATTAACCACTGTGATGCTATCCTAACTTAACTTACTTAACCATGACTGAACCTTACCTAACATGACCAACACAATATTGTATGGTAAAGGTGAAGGAGATGGTTAGCACCAGAAATAACTTATGAAATTGAACCAAAATTTCTGGAGATATTATTTCCAGAGACACTATTTTCATGATACTGAACACGAAAATGGAAATGAGAAACCACAGAACATAACAGCCCCTCGGCTAGGATGTTAAGTAAGGTTAGGTCAGATTTTGTTAGATTCTGCGCATTCTCATTTCCATTTTCATGTTCAGTGTCATGAAAAGAATATTTCCATAAATTTTGGTTCAATTCCAGTTAGTGTTTGAAGCCGCATAGTGTAAATTCTTGTTACACACAAATAAATATTTCTTGTTGAGTGTCAGTTCTCTGCCACATTTTGAACACTTAACATCCTGCCAACTAGTCCATGTTCACAGATGAACTCTTGTAGAAGGTCTTCATCCTCCACAAGGATAATTATCCTGTAATAAGACAATGAGCATCTGTCACAAGACGCCCTAACTATGGCATTAGGGTGTGTCACAGGAGGGAAGATCAGCTAAAACTAATGGCCCATCACTTTTTTGGTAGATTTTAGTGTATATAAACAGAAAATAATTTCAGTTTCAATATTTTGCAACGTTTTGCTAGGTAAATTTTAGCGTGAAATTTATCGAAAATCTAACGTACAGCTGCATTAGTGCATTACAATTAAATAGTGAACATTGATTTCTGACTTCATTCTTTAACAACCCAACTAACAATATTTTTTTCTGTTTCAGATTCTGATGCATTTATAAGTTGATAATATTTGCGATGGCTGCTTGTGTCAGGACGAGGAACCAAAAATCCAGCCATCTCAGTCACTATCTTGGGTCTGGGAGAGAGCTCCTGAAGTCGGAGTTGCCTACATTGAGAGATGCTTTGAGATATGGTGTTTTAATCAGGCAAATCAGTGAAAAGAACCAAAGAACTTACACAAACAAAGACATTGCCAGTGATATGACCAAAGCTGTCTTGACACAGTACACTCTGGCTAACGCTCAGTTCAAGCCTCCAGTCATAACAAGTCAGAAGAAGATTAGTGAGAGACTGCTAGCCAGTTGGGAAAAGGCAAAAGATATCTATCTTGGGAGAGGAAAACTTGCAGTTAAGGACAGCTTTGCCAAGCAACTGGACCAGTTATTTGACATAATTACTTGCAAGTGCCCAATTGTTCTCTGTCCTGAGTTTGGATGCGATCATGACTGTAAATCCGCGGCCCACATCTCCTGTATTTGCAAGCGTGAACTGAAGATTCCTGTGATCGAACTGGCATTTGTCAAAGCACAGAGAGAGAAGACTGGCAGTATAGGGGCTCTCATGATTTCTAGCCAAGATATTCCGGAGTCCAAGAGACAGGAGGCTGCCACAGAGAGACAGAAGAGGAGAAAAGTTGCCGAGGAAAAGAGACTTGAGAAGGCCCAGGGTGAGGTAAAAAAGGCCGATGATTGGAGTCAAGCTGATTCAGAGTTTAATGACTTCCCCATGGCTGATCCGAGTGCTGACCAGGAGAATGGTGACTTTGTCCCTAACCCAGAAAATAATGATCCCAAACCTTCCAGGCATAAGATTCGAAATAGGAAAGATATCCCGAGCATAGCTCTGGCCAGCATGCGACACCACACTGGTCTCAGAGAAACTGCAGAGATAGCAACAGCTGCCTGGATTGACGGTGGTTTGATAACACCTGATGATGTTCACCTGGTGATAGATCATAACAAAGTAAGGAGAGCTCAGGAGAAACTTGTCAGTAACCTAGAAGAGGAGTTTGATAAGGGATAAGAGAAAATGGAATCAATTGTTTGTTCTTTGATGGGAGAAGGGATGACACTAAAGTGTTCATGAAAGTTGGAGATTCTGACAAGTTGTTCCCTGCCATGGTGAAGGAGGAACACTACTCCTGCTGCAGTGAACCAGGAGGGAAGTATTTGTGGCATTTCACTCCAGAGAAAGATGACATCAGGAAACCAGCTGAGATCGTGGCAGATAACATTGTGAACTGGCTCAGAAAGAGGAACGTAGACCAAACCCTGCAGGCCATTGGAGGGGACAGCACCAACACGAACACAGGGTGGCAAGGGGGGGTCATACAGTGGATAGAGCGGAAGATTGGGAGGAAGCTGGTCTGGATTGTTTGTGACCTCCACACCGAGTTGCCACTCAGACATCTGATCCAGGAGCTGAATGGCAAGACTCTTTCAAACAACAGATGGTCTGGTCCTCTTGGCAAGATGCTGGACTCTGCCACTGAGTTAGAAATAAATCCGAGCTTTGAAAAAATGACAGTTGGCCCTCCACTCGTTGAGCTTGCACATACTGTCATTGACGACCTGAGTACTGACCAGTACTATGGTTACATGATTTGCAGTGCCATCAAAACTGGGGTCATGCCTGATAGACTTGCTTACCTGCAGATAGGTCCAGTCTCACATTCTAGGTGGCTCACAATGGCTCTCAGGTTCTGCAGAATTTGGGTCGCTCATCATAAACTGAAAGGGAACCAGCTTCACAACCTGAGACTTATTGTCCAATTCATCGTGAGTGTCTACTTGCCAAATTGGTTCAACACCAAGGTCAAGTCATCGTTCTCCGAAGGTCCGAGGCATGTTCTCTTCCAGCTTGAGCTCCTGAGGAGTCAGCAAAGGAAGGTTGTTCAGATTGTGGAGCAGACTGTGAGGAGATCTTCCTGGTATGCTCATCCCGAGGCAGTTCTGCAGACAATGCTCTGCAGTAAGGATGAGGAGGAGAGAAGAGTGGCAGTCAAAAAGATCTTGGATATGAGACTTATGAGAGGATCTGGGCATGACGAATCAGTTGGTGATGATTCCTTCAGGGTCAGGAAGACTCCTGAAGTCAATCTAGGTGCCAAGACCCTCACTGATCTCATAGATCTGGATAACATCCAGGCTGGCAGTGAGCCCCCTCTTACCTGCAGCCTCACCAATGTTCAAGTCAGAGCTTTCCTGGACAACCCCATGCATGTCCCTGCCTGGCCCTGGCACACCCAGAGTATAGAGCGTTGTGTACAGCAAGTGAGCGAGGCCAGCAGTCACGTGTACAGCCAGGAGAGGAGGGAAGGCTGCATCCGAGCTCAGGTGGTCAGCAGGGAGGTGATGAGTAGAAACAGAAGCAAGAAAGACATGTTCTCTATGGTGTGCAGCAACACCGGGTCGTAGTAGTAAAACCGGTTTTTGTATTTGATGATTTTGTTTTCTAAAGGAATATTAAATTTAATAAATGTGTCAAGATCATTCGTTTCACTATTCTGGATCATTTTCATCCTAATAAATTAACCTGATACATTTACTTTACTTTAAATACTATTTAGAATTTTCATAAGATTTCAAGTTAAAATTTACCTAGCAAAAAATAAAAACTTTTCAAATCTGAAGATATCACATGATTCTGCACATAGAACTACATCATTAATACCATGGGCCGATTTTTCAAACTCAAAAAAAAAAAATTCGCCTCCGTATGACACACCCTACTATATCATGCTTGTCTCCTCTTGTGGCAGAACAATAAGTATAGGAACATACAGTTCACTTATTATCCAATGCTACTTGTAAGGTGCTGTAATGAATCAAATGGTATAATATGTGAATGGATTACAACAATATGATCCTCATAACATATAAATAGAGTTGGTTTAAGATCCGATTGTGCGGGAAATACAAAATGTATAGGATCAGCGCAGGTCATCGACTCCTGACTCTAGATAGTGAAGTCCGCTACCAAAAACAAAAACAATTAAACCTATTATATAAGGTAGATAAAGCCAGGATACGATTCACTGTCATTTGTTAACAATTTAAGTGAGAACAGAATCAGAACTTAACTGTTTACAATGGGACAACAACACACGTCAACAAGACTGGACTGCCGGAGGAATATCTAAGGCAAATATTAAATTTCTTCAAATACAAAACATGTACAGACATCCATTAACTGTCATATGATCAGTTTTTCATCGTGTTTTATCACATAATTTCCCTCATCCTTCATGTCATGCTAACCTTCTCGTCCACCTTTACCTATAATATAATGTAATCAAACCTAACCTAACCCTAGCAGCTACCTGATAATATTTCACCTTAAAATATAAAGTTTTCTTACCTCGAGAAACATAATGTATGAGTAATGTGTTTTGTTTCACTTCACTTTTATAATTGTTAATGTCTTTATCGTTAACAATGGCTTGTTTGGTGTAGTGTTTTAACGCCACATTGTTCCTCATCTTTAAAGCCCTGTTACTAGTGTTAAAGTGGTCATATCTCCATAAATATCAACCTACCACTCAAATAAAGGTCATATTCCTTTATAACAAGATAAAAAACACATTAGTTAAATCTATTTTAGTAATCAATTTCCCGTTATGGCATAAAATGAATCTTTATCATTCCACATAGCAGGAAAGGTCATAATACAGTATTAAGGTAAACAAGGTCATATAACACACCTTAATAACTCACCAAACACTTGCTGTAATGTCCAGGAGGAGGAGAAATAAACTGTTTTACGAGAAAATTGACGGAAGTATACAAGATGGTGAAGCGTGTTGTTGTTGTTGTCAAGGAATATCCAATAAGGAAGAACAACTCTCCACTATTAGTCACCACAGGTTGACCCGTAGTGCCGCCTGGTGACTGAATGACTAACTTACCAAAGAAAATATATACAAATGAGGGTAAACTATTACTGTTTATTGACCCTCATAGAAGAGGTCCTCATGAACATTATACAAAACGTACGGTATAAAATACTTTACTTGAACTAAATTTTCTGTATAAACCATTATTAAAGAAGATATTGACAGGTGCTTTATAAAACTTACATTATAAGTAATGTAATAGGCAATAGGCAGCTATCAAATAGGGAGGTACTGTACTACTGTCTGGGAAGATAATGGAAGCATAATGTGTTGTCTAATGGTAGACCCTGCTGCCATAGGTGACCAAGTCCCAGGTTGATGATCTGACTTGCTGCGTCATTTACACACAATTGCAGGGTCTCAATTGTTTCTCTTACTTTGAGAACACAACATACATATATTGCTTCTCAATATTGATTTTTTTTGGGGGGGCTAATCCCTGTGAAAAAATGGGAATTAAATAGAATTATATAATATTTTACATTTTATTATCATGAATATGGCTACTTATGTACCCCATAATCCACCCCACATAAATATGGGAGAGGTTTCTGTACCCCTTAATCCACCCCACATAAATATGGGAGATAAATAAAGAGGACAGACAGATAAATATTACTCTCATACATATAAGTCAATCTTAATGGAACTATTTTTCATCCTAATATTTTCATGTGAATAATAAAAATTTAAATTATCACAAACATTTTATTAGCAATATTGGTATCAAAATTACATCAACCTTTGAACGGTGGATTAGGCGACCTTTGGGTAAGACGAGGTCCACCTTACAGTCTAAGTTCATGGTTTTAACTCATATCTGTGGTATAAGACAACTCCCCAAACTACTAAACCACCTGTGGTAAAGTTAAGGTCAATTTGACCACCAATATGGTGATATGTTTAACATATTAAATACCTTGAATGGACGTTTGCCTGAACAAGCCATTTAAAGATCATGTGTGTGAAGACTGGAATATTTGGATGATGGATGGTGAAAAATCCTTTCCAAAAAGTGAGGCTACACGCGCTGCATCACTTGATGTGCTGTCTCATCAAAACAAGAAATAAAGTGAAAATAGAGACTGTAATAAAACCTTTCAAAAGGTGAGGTATCTCTAATGTAATGGATGGTATGGAGGCAATATCTTATAATTCTTCCATAGTGAGCAGCCAAGTAGTGTATATATTTGATCATTTAATGTTTTTATTAACGGTAATATTACATATATTATGTGTAGACCACCACAAGATAATGACCCACAAACCCTGCCTGGCGACATCACCGAACCTGTGTCTTATGGGTTTGTAGTTGACAGCACTAACAAGTAACCCATGAGGCCTATCACAGTTGTCAGTGCATGTCAAGTGTTCACGGGGACCAGTGCTGGAAGACAAAGGATAGTCACCAACTCCTGCTTTCTATACTTGGTACAATTATTATTTACAAGGTAGATTCACAGGATAGATCCACACAGTCCTGTGCTCAACTGAGTTGTGTGAAGCAGCGAGACACACAGGTCTGGTCTACAGTGAGTCCTCCCAGTTCTCTCTACCTTCATTCCCTCCTCAACTCTCCCACCAAGCATTGTGGGTAATAACATCACAGTTACATTAATTCACAAATTATTAATGAGACAATTAAAACAAGTTACAATAAAAGACAATTAAGTAGATACCTCAAACTACTTCAATCAACATTAACATATAAGTTAATAATTGGAGTAACATCACAAGACCCCAAGTTTGGAACACCTTGTACAAGAAGCCAACTTCACACCCAACCACCATTATGTATTATATACAACAACTCACTATATACAACAAATTACACAGATTAGCATAACATGAATGTATGTTATACATTACCATAAGAACATACATTATATATTACACAGAGCCCTTGGGATGTACCTAGTAGCATCTGACAGTACAGTACATCACAGTTGGTAATGTACAGTACATGTTAGTACATCACAGTTGGTAATGTACAGTACATGTTAGTACATCACAGTTGGTAATGTACAGTACATGTTAGTACATCACAGTTGGTAATGTACAGTACATGTTAGTACATCACAGTTGGTAATGTACAGTACATGTTAGTACATCACAGTGGTAATGGTATGTTAGTACATCACAGTTGGTAATGTACAGTACATGTTAGTACATCACAGTTGGTAATGTACAGTACATGTTAGTACATCACAGTTGGTAATGTACAATACAGTACATGTTAGTACATCATAGTTGGTAATGTACAGTACATGTTAGTACATCACAGTTGGTAATGTACAGTACATGTTAGTACATCACAGTTGGTAATGTACAGTACATGTTAGTACATCACAGTTGGTAATGTACAGTACATGTTAGTACATCACAGTTGGTAATGTACAGTACATGTTAGTACATCACATGTTAGTACATCACAGTTGGTAATGTACAGTACATGTTAGTACATCATAGTTGGTAATGTACAATACATGTTAGTACATCACAGTTGGTAATGTACAGTACATGTTAGTACATCACAGTTGGTAATGTACAGTACATGTTAGTACATCACAGTTGGTAATGTACAGTACATGTTAGTACATCACAGTTGGTAATGTACAGTACATGTTAGTACATCACAGTTGGTAATGTACAGTACATGTTAGTACATCACAGTTGGTAATGTACAGTACATGTTAGTACATCACAGTTGGTAATGTACAGTACATGTTAGTACATCACAGTTGGTAATGTACAGTACATGTTAGTACATCACAGGTAATGTACAGTAGTACATGTTGGTAATGTACAGTACATGTTAGTACATCACAGTTGGTAATGTACAGTACATGTTAGTACATCACAGTTGGTAATGTACAGTACATGTTAGTACATCACAGTTGGTAATGTACAGTACATGTTAGTACATCACAGTTGGTAATGTACAGTACATGTTAGTACATCACAGTTGGTAATGTACAGTACATGTTAGTACATCACAGTTGGTAATGTACAGTACATGTTAGTACATCACAGTTGGTAATGTACAGTACATGTTAGTACATCACAGTTGGTAATGTACAGTACATGTTAGTACATCACAGTTGGTAATGTACAGTACATGTTAGTACAATACACAAGTGACAACAGGACATGACTAGGTCAACAACATCACCTGTCTTGACCAAGCCAAATCAACATGGCTGGGTCTACATGTGACCATTACATGTTAACAAAATTATTGTACAAGTTCTACTAGACTCATAGGATACCCCTCAACTAACACAAGTTTATTTTTCTAACATATTCTTTCATGTCATGGTAAAGGAATTTACATCTTAAGAGCAGATAATTATAACTTGTGTTTAATATCTATAAAAATGGCATTTGTCACTTGTCTTTATTTCTGCTACATTCATAGAGTTTGTTCAAGTGGTTTTATATTGATGTATATCACTGTATTCAAGTTTATGTGTCACATTTACCTTCTGTTAAAGTCATTCAAACATTTAATGAATTTTGTTTTTTTCATGCACAAGTTTATGACGTTTGAGAGTACCCTTCAGGGAGAAACATTTCCACATTCCTTACATTCAAACTCCTTTATACCACTGTGTCCAAGAATGTGTCTCTTGAGATCAATCTTCTGTGAGAAACATTTCCCACATTCCTCACATTCAAACTTCTTTATTCCACTGTGTACAAGAATGTGTCTGTTGAGAGTGCCCTTTTCTGCAAAATGTTTTCCACATTCCTTACATTCAAACGCCTTTATACCACTGTGTCCACGAATGTGTCTCTTGAGATCACTCTTCTGTGAGAAACATTTCCCACATTCCTCACATTCAAACTCCTTTATACCACTGTGTCCAAGAATGTGTGTCTTGAGAGTACTCTTCTGTGAGAAACATTTTTCACATTCTTCACATTCAAACTCCTTTATACCACTGTGTCCAAGAATGTGTGTCTTGAGAGTACTCTTCTGTGAGAAACATTTTCCACATTCTTCACATTCAAACTCCTTTATACCACTGTGTCCAAGAATGTGTGTCTTGAGAGTATTCTTCTGTGAGAAACATTTTCCACATTCTTCACATTCAAACTCCTTTATACCACTGTGTCCAAGAATGTGTCTCTTGAGATTACCCTTCTGTGAGAAACATTTTCCACATTCTTCACATTCAAACTCCTTTATACCACTGTGTCCAAGAATGTGTGTCTTGAGAGTACTCTTCTGTGAGAAACATTTCTCAGATTCCTCACATTCAAACTCCTTTATACCATTGTGTCCAAGAATGTGTTTTTTGAGATGTCTCTTCTGTGAGAAACATTTCCCACATTCCTCACATTCAAACTCCTTTATACCACTGTGTCCAAGAATGTGTCTCTTAAGATGACTCTTCTGTGAGAAACATTTCCCACATTCCTCACATTCAAACTCCTTCATACCATTGTGCACAAGTAAATGTGTCTGAAGAGTAGACTTCAACCAAAACTGTTTGCCACATTCCTCACAGGAGAACTTTTTATCTCTGCTTGACATTGTGAACTTCTTCTTAGTTACACTTGGTCTTGAGATGTGACATCACAGTATCTGAAACAAAATATTTTGCCTTGGATAATATTTTTATAAGAATTACAATTTATAAATGAAAACTACAAGTGACTAAATCAACTTGTGTAAAATGAAAATATTCTAAAAGTAATTACAAAGGTTTAATTACAGCTAATGAGGGTTTATGACACATCGTCACCCAGTGACGGACTGGCCTATCGGGAGTTTCGGCATATTGCCGATGGGTCGGTGAGCCAGTGGGCCAGTCGGTCTTAGATACATCTTAGTGAAGAAAGACTGGACAACATCCAACATTTTGGTGATTATCAGTATTTAGCATGGTGCACCTGATGATCTTTATAGCAGTAGAATCTGTGGGGAAATAATGGTACTGTATTCATATTGTACACAATGAGAGTTGAGTTTAGACTCTCCTAATTCAAATACATCTCGGGTGTTGAAAGAATCTATAGCCCCAGTACTGTACAGTGTCAGGTGGGGAGGTGGTGCGGTCTCTCTTGCTACAGTGTCTGGTGTTGGGTCGGGCCAAAGGTAATTGTACTCAAGAGGTTAAGTCAAGTGATTGTAGTGATGGGTTGTCAGACCACAGCTTACATCCCAGAAACAGTCCAGACTTGACCCGACATTAGGGAGGTCAAGTGTAGGGTAACTCTAGCGGCTGACCAAGGGTTATAAATCAGCCAGGCTCCCCTCCCATGTCACACATATAAGAAGGCACCGGCCGACTCTCTCCCAATATACACAATAACCTACACCGCAGAAGAAGTCCAGACCTGACCCTACATTAGCAAGGGCAAATGTAAGGAGACCCTTCGCCGCCCCCCCTCCCCCCCAATCAGCTCAACCTGACGGCTCGCCTCCCAATATATAGGACGTCCTAGTCCTCCCTCTGCCCAGAGAGAGACAGAGAGAGAGTGTGTCTTGTAACCAAGAAGGGCCAGCTACCACGTCCCGAGTCCTGCTCGAGAGAAGTCAGGGGCCGGAGGCAAGCCGCCTCCGGTCGCCTCCAGTCAGGAGCGAGTTGCCCTCGACACACCGGCGCCCAGCTAAGCAGTCTCCCATAGAGACAACCCAGGACTACCTGCTAGGCCTCCCCTAGGTCACGTGAGTGTTTGTCAGAGCTTTCCGTGGGATGAGTTACTTACGTGGGAAGTGTATTCATTTCATGTTCGTGTCCGAGAATCAGAGTGTCTAGTAACGTAATATGATGTCCTAGTAACGTAAATATAATGTCCTAGTAACTTCAATAGAAGGTGTTAGTAATGTGTCCATGTCATGTTCGTAATTAATAAAGAGTTGTAACGAAGCGGTGTTTGAGAAGTCGCCCTTAAGACGTAATAGATGTGTATTGACGTATAAGATCCGATAAGTGTAAATTCATCATCAAATAACTATCACGGCCACGCTACCAAAATCTTCCTCTCTTTTATACTCTTATACTATCAATATTCTACCTATATGTAATCTTCTTCTTGTGAGATTTGTCTCATTACAATGGTGGCAGCGAACTTAACGTAAACTCACGCCTTCCCTCGGTTAGCCATAACACCTGGCTCGTCTCATCCTTCATTTGATTCAGTCTAAGTATTGTCTACAATTGTGTAATAAGTAATTCCTGTGTCGTAGCGTCGTAGCGTGAAAAGTTTCCTAGTGTGTCATCTTTACAGCTCAAGTCAATGTCTCTCGTTGTGGTATACGCGAATTGTTACTAGCAAAACACTCCCAGAATATACTCAGTGCTTAATATAATTTCTCAGTGTTCCCCACGTTCTGTGAAGTTCTCAGTATCCCAAGTGCATTTTAATTGTCGGTCAGTGTTAAATGTACCCATTGTGTTTTAGTGATAGAAGCTGTGTCTATACTAACTGTTATAACTTAACATGTCTTACAACCTACATCCTCCTCCTTGTCCTAATCCTCACCTCACCCTCCGTACCCATCTGTTCCCGCCTCGCCCCGCCCCGCTCCCCTCCGCCCCGGTTACGCCACTCTACACCTCACCCCACCAGGCGCGCATCATGCCCGAATGTTTCTCGCCCCGCTCCGCCCCGCCCGTGTGACCACCAATGTTTTGTCCTGTGAGTTATGCTTCGAAACCGGTGGTTAGTGTTACTTAATATTGTGATAATTACAGAGCTTCACTCAGTGTGTTTTTATGCTAGTATGATTTGTAATGTACTCTTTGACGCGTAGTGATAAATAATATTCAATGTAGTGAGCAGAGCTTCACTCCCCGACCCAGCCTAATGAGAATATTGTCGTGACGGAAACTATAGTTGCCAAACATTGACGTAACGTATAAAGTAAATATTTGTTTTTCTTTACGGATACACTTCCAACTAAGCCATCATCCCTTTCGGATTGTTTCTGTCAAATGTCACACACAGTACCGCCCCATGGCTAGCCGGAATCCAACCACAGCACATATAAGCAGAGAAGAAGAAGCGTGATGAATGCAGCACCACACCCGCCACACACCACCCCACTTCTTTCAAGTCCTCCCTGGTCTAGGATTAAGAAGATTTTATATTTTTCTACTTTAGGAAGTTAAGGAGTGTGGAATGCAGCGCCACACAACGAACCCTGGTGAGCCCAGCCAGGGAGGGATTCACCACTGTGGAAGGTGTAAGACAGGACGGTCTTTGGTCTCGCCGACACTCACGTACGGAGGGCGAGCCCTGGTCCGCGGAACCTGCCTTACAGTCATCTAAGGAGACGACAGCCCAAGCAGTGGACCGGCTTTCATCCCGGCCGGAGGGGGCTGACGGCAGATGAACAGAAAATCGTCTGGAATATGTTGAAAATGATGTTTTGTTTTGTTGTATAAGCGACGTCTATCAATAACACATCATGCCAAGCTTAAAATGATTTATTTTTCAGCATTTATCTGCTTACTAGCCGTTCGGGAGGTCAATAATTTACTTTTTTACAATAGCATAAAACCTTCCCTAATCTGTTATGGGAAGCGACATGAGGCCAGGACTTACTGGTACTTACTCTCATCCTCTTCACCAAATGATTGACTCGTTAGCCGCTTGGGCGATCGGTCACGTCCCTGTTAGGCACTGTTGGCAAGTACTGGGCTGAAAATTAAACTCAAGGGTACGAAATTCGGGGAAATGTCCTAGCGTGGATAGTAGACTTCCTACATGACCGCAAGCAGTGTGTGGTGATTAATGGCACGAAATCATCATCCGTACATGTCACAAGCGGGGTACCACAGGACAGTGTATTGGGCCCGCTGTTATTTGTTTGTTTCATAAATGACATGCCTGACGTTGTACACTCCTCCATACAAATGTTTACCGATGACGCCGAGTTATTTCGCGAAACCAAGAACCAAGAGGACTGTGAAGAGCTGCAGAAGGACCTCTGTGGGCTCCAAGAATGGTCGAAGAAATGGCTGCCGAGATTCAATGTCACGAAGTGTAAGAGGATGCACCTGGGGCGTGCCAACGGTAAGGAGGCGTATCATATGTCCCAACGGGATGAAGAAACTGCACTAGTTGAGACTGAATGTGAGAAGGACCTAGGAGTGTATGTTGACAATGAGCTGAAGTTCTCGGGCCATTGCGAGAAGATGGTAAATGAGGCAAATAAATTATTGGGTCTTATAAGAAGGTCATTCAGATATCTAGACGATCCGTCCCTCATAACGATCTTGAAGAGTGAAGTGCTTCCCCATCTGGAGTACTGTCAACCCGTCTGATCCCCGAGAAAATGTTCAAAGGAGGGCCACCAGACTGGTGCCTGCACTACGACTCCTCAGCTACCCTGAGAGATTGGAGCGCCTGAACTTGTCTAGCTTATACTACAGACGGGCAAGTGGGGACCTAACTGAGGTGAATAAGCATCTCAAGGGGCACTACTCAGTCGAGTGTCCTTACCTGGAGCTGGCAGACGCTCGCCCCACAAGGGGTCACAGCTCAAGGTTGAAGAAGCCACAAGTCCAGAAAACTGTGAGGGCAAACTTTTTCGGAGTGAGAGTTGTGAATTCTTGGAACAATCTACCAGTGTTGTGACGGCACCGAGTGTGAGCTGTTTCAAGACCAGACTTGACCAACACTGGAGCAGGTTCAGGTACATTCAGGAGCCAGTTCAAGGCCAGTACTTGCCAACAGTGCGTAACGCAGACGTGACCGATCTCCCAAGCAGCTAACGAGTCGTTCAGTGGTGAAGAGGATAAAAGTAAAAAGAAAAAAAAAAGAGATTAATCAATAACTGATTCTCCAAACTCTGACTGTCCAATCATGATCTGTTAGGCCTCAATATAAGCCCAACATGACCCTATT